ATGTTTATTTTATTATAAATAGATCTATGATTTTAGAAACTATAACAACAATTTTCAGATATAGCAATTTATGTTATATTCTCCCTCTATTGGTCAAATAAATTTCAAATTACTTTTATAAAGTTTTGTTGCAGAAATTTTTTATAGAAGATCGATAATCCTGATTATATGCCGGTGAATGGTCAGTGCATTGATTTCATCAATGCAAAACACAATCAGTCCTTGGGCTTCATTGATCTTTGAGACTTATTGCCAATAACACTTTTACATACCAATTAATCAAATGGCGGGGGCGAATAAAACCTTAAGAAAAGTTGATTGTTACACGCCTTGAAGCCTTTCCTCAATTTCTCATGTTTTTCCAAACGCTACATTCTAACAATCATAAGGTTTTATTTTCATAATTTTATGAGAAATTTTCATCCAAGACAATGATAGTAGACCAAGACAAATTCATTTAGGGATTGAAGCAAAAGCTAAAATCAAGGCTTATTTATTTGGAACTTCACATAAATTCACAAGCTACGTTTTTATATTTTTAGATTTCTTGGAATAACTTTTGTTTAGTGATTAAAACATCACACTTATTAATGGCCAATTAGTCTCGAAAATTGGATATCGAGTTATCATAAAAATTCTTAAGCCCATACCAATGATGGCTTATTGCTAGAAAATGAATTATAAGGAAAAATATTAAAATGAAATTGATCAAAGATAAAAGAGGTTGTTGATTATTTGTCTTTGCTCTTAAAAAGAGTAATTAAGAAGTGGCACAATCACGTTGCATGTTTGCGTAATTATTTGTGTTTGATTCAAAGGATTTATTGTTAATTCTGTGATTATCTATCTATATTGACATGATAATTAAGTTAAATGGTAAATGTGCATAAAAAAATATTGATGTTTCATGGATTAATTGTTGGATACATAATAAACCAAATGCAATTTTATTATATGCAATGAACATATAACATGAAGAAGAGTTGCTGGAGATAAAGTAAAATACATTAAATATGTATATCTATGGTGTCCCTAATCTCTATATTATGTAAAATTTTACACTAGTATTTCTATTTAAAATTTAGCCAACAATTTGGGCTAAATGGGATATTGGTTAAAAGAAAAGACATGTCATTAAAAATATTGAGGCAATTGCCTATTACCAACAATTTGAAACATGCTCACCAATGTCTAATTTATGAATTGAACAAGAACATACAACTTCAAGTATTTTCTAAAGGCATTTGACACAAGTGTGAGTTTAATATCAATTTGTAATGGTATGGAGAAAGTTTGCCATGTATTAAGAAAGCAAAATAAATTATTGTGAAGGCATTTGAAATTAGAGTTAAAGATACATTGGATTCTAATTTTACATTGGCATATTAGTCCGATGAGTAAAGTTTGAATTTAATATACACTTAAAAATATTCTTATGACCCATTTAAGTGGTGGACATGTTTTTTATTAAAGCCATAAGGCTAATAATGTCCATGATAAAAAGTGTATGTATGCATGATATTTAGATAGTCACCTGATAGATCCATACATTAATGGTCCTCTAATATGACAATTCTAAAATGATATATGACATATCCTTATGTATATATGTAACTTTTTGATGAAAAGTCATGTTATTTGAATGTGTATATATATATATATATATTGTCATATATCTAATAAGTTTTTAGTTTTAAATTGACTATGATGAGCAACTATGGAAAATAGTAAAAATATTATTATGTTTCACCAAGGGATTTAAGGCCTTTTTACAATAAATAATTAGTGAAAAGACAATATGACGTATGGTTTATAATTTAGTGGTAATAACGTTGATTTCTTAGGATATTAATAAATATATAAAATGGACAAATGTGAAACCATCATGGCAAAAAAAAAGATAAAAGTAATCATTATGAACTAAAAGATTTTATGACAATTGTACGATGAATATCCTTAATAGTTGAATTACTATGGAAAGCATTCTTTAAAGAATAGATATACATATATGGTGAGATGTTAGTATTATGAATCTACAAGATATAAAATATGAATAAGTTAAAATTTCACCACGCAATATGAAAATTTAACATAACTATGTTGGAAATTTGGGGATGAGATTCAAGCCTATAATATAAAGTCACCTATAATAGAAACTTGACTCAACGCTTATTATAATGTCAAGTCTTAAGTTCAATGACCCAAAGTACATAATCTGTATATGATTGCAAGCACATAATCTTATATTTTTACCTAAAGAAAAGTGCTTGATACCTATAATGATAAGAGAATGATGAGGTTTTACTCTTAATAGACCCATAACATAAATACGTTAGAGTATTATAATTATAGGAACACTCTTAATAGGAGTCTACCTATGTGAGTGTGAAGCATGGTTGCTTATTAAGATTTCACGAGCTTGGCTCTAACAAAACTCATGAAAAGAGGATACAGACACATGGCCAAAATAATATCTTTGAATATTGAGCATTCATTAGGTGTTTATGTGAGATGAGTTCAATTAACCAAATGAAATTGCTTGTTCAAAACATAATCTACCATATAATTTCAGTTAACTTTAACTTCATTTATGCAATTAATTTTCAGGATTATCATAAATCTAGATTTTTTTGAAAATGGTAGAGGATTGTTGGAACATTTTCAACAATAATATCTCACATGAATTACATGTGATGGTAAAAAGTTATAATCATTTAAAATGCATGATTATTTGTTAAGAATTATGTTTGAAAAATTGTGCATGTCTAAATAGTCACATATTTAAACTGTTATGTCTATGCAAATAAATATTTATTGGGATGGTCATGTTTATACAAAGAGATGTCTATTTTATTATAAATAGATCTCTGATTTTGAAAAGTATAATAATAATTTTCAGATACAGTAATTTATGTTAAATTCTCTTTTCATTGTTCAAATAAATTTCATATTAGTTTTATAAAGTTTTGTTATAGAAATTTTTTATAGAAGACCAATAGTCCTATTATGTCGATGAATGCTTAGTTGATTGATTTCATCAATACAAAATGCAATCAATCATTAGGTTTCATTGTATCTTCAAGATTTATCGTCAATAACTCTTTTACATACCAATTAATCAAATGGTGGAGGTGAATAAAACTTAAGAAAAGTGACACCATTACATGCCTTAAAGCCTTTTCTCAATTTCTCATGTTTTTCCAAACCCCATGTTCTAACACCATATTGAGCACTATACCATAGCAAAACCTTCTGCATCAGAGCTAAACTGGAGAAGAGACTCCAGTCATGATATTTTGTTTGCACATACTCCAAACAAGTTCTTGGGTTGAGTAAACAGCCACAAACCCATGATTTTCATTAAAATAAGCTTTGTCCACTAATGTGGATCAAATCTAAATTCATAAACGAAAATTTTAATCGACTGAGTGTAACGGTGATGATAAATTGACAGCTAATGTAAACATATCGCATTCCTTGACAGGATAAGTTATCAACATATTTTGAGAAACATATTTTACATCTACACCTTAACAAAAACTCATGATCTCTTTGCCAGAGGTAAATAGAATCCCCATGAGATCAAAAAGGAGTTTTATATAATAAAAAAGGCAACTGAAACAATATTCCATTCCTCCCACGTCGAAAACAACAAAAAAAGAAAGTAACAATAAACTATCGATTAGTTTTAGCTCAAACTCTAATTCAGATCGCATTGTAAAAGTTTGTTCAGGCATCTAAGTTGGTAATAGTTTTGTCATCATGCCTGTCAACTTGCTTTGTCTATCATCAAAGCGCATATGGACACTCTTTACTTATAGATCCAATATCCTTATTTACATGCCAAAAGTGCCAATTTGAGACATTAGCTGACCGGTTGCATTGTTTGTTATCCTAACGCAACTGTTCTCAAGGCCTCTCTATGCGGGCAATATTATTCAAATAAGCTGCTATGGAGATCAATCCATGACTTAGAAAAAGCGGGGGAAATAGCGGGCGGAAAAAGCAGGGACTCCTCATAGTCGATAAACTCAGGCCCCAATAATGAACTTTGAGAATGATCCCCCACAAGGAGTTGAACAGCAACCAAACCCACATTGCTAAGGGCTAATAGGTTCATTGCTAAAATCTTCCAGGAGTTTTCCAATTCCCCAGCTTGGCTTGGAAGATTGAGTCAGAGGTTTTTGCATTATGATTGTACTTGACATTTCAGATTCAATTCTACAACTACTTGGAAGGTTATAATGGCTGAATGCACTAACACAGGCAATTGGGTAACAAAGAGTAGGATGGTCCTTTGATTCAGCGACATATTAATTCTCTTTTGTTGGCGGAATGTCTTCTGGCAAGTCGGGTCTATCATCTATCACGACATTTGTTCCTTCAAGATGTTTGAAAGAGTTTATATCTCCAACTCACAGCGTTTCTTCTGAGAATGATTTTGCTCTCTCGAGGCTGCCTCACCGGTCGTGTTACCATGTTCTAGTTTAAACCTACCTAGCTCCATGCATCAACTACTTAAAGTAGAATTCCAATGGTTCTTAATTGCATTATTAGTTCTATTTGGCAAAAGCTTTGCAATTGAATCCCATTTGTTATCGTGGATTGCATGAGCTTAAATTATGATACAATCCTCCTCATTTGCAATGGTTTACATGCTAATGATTATGATTGCCGGTGAGTTTGCATCTTTGTAAAATATAAATTCTTTTGGTGTCATAAGAATTTGAATTCTATATCAAGTCATCTTTTCTAATAGTTGCGTAATGACAACAAAAAAAAAAACTTTTTGACACACCTCAAAAAGGATCTCTCAGAATTTCATAATACAAAGACTAACTTTGGATACATCACCATTTGAAAAGAATAAAAAATGAAAAAAAAAACAAAATGAGTGACATCACCCTTCTTCCGTCAAAAGAATTTCATTTATTGTTTGAATTTTAAAACTTTATACATCTGTCTTGACCACAAATTTAGTAACACGAGACTGCCAAAAAAACAGTTCCAATAATCCTTTTATTTCTCTTTTATGAAAAGAATTTGGAATTATGAAGTGTTCCACTAAAGTTTAACAATTATGTAAAACAACCTTGAAGCTGTAAAAACAATCCCACTCTCTAATATTTTGCTCAATGTGATTATTTACACTTACATAAGACCATGGAACTCTGGTGTTAAGATCAGCCGGGAGAAGACGCATTGTTCTAAGTACGACATATAGAAGAAGAACATTATAAATAAAATGAACTGGCATTATGCTTGAGCCTCTACTGTCCTCGAGTAATTAATAAACAAAACAAAACCTTTTAAGAACTTGCAGCATGTTTTTGTGGGAGTGGTTGGGGATATCATCGCAGCTTTAACTCACTCCCAATGGCACCAAATTATACATATATTACACATGAGCAGGAAAAAGAGTGGCATCTGAACACGGAGACTTTTAAAACTACAAACATAGGACAAGAATAACAATCATCCTCTACATAACGGGAATCCTCATATATGCATCCTACCATGTACTTATTTAATGTTTTCTTGAATTAATTGTTTTGTTCAACAACGCACCAAATTCCACTAAGTACTAATAGATATCAAGGATTAAAAAAGCAGTAGAGTAGCCGCTATGAAACGTCACCATCTGCCATCATTATTGAGTAAAATACGGATGAGAATTTGAATCCTGGCAGAGACATCATTTCAATCAAATTCAACCTCAATCAAAATTAAATTAAGCATAAGTAAAGATAAACAAGTAACTCGACACCTCGAATAACCTTTTTTGTTGAAAATTTTCCATATTTGTATTGATTCTCTGAGATTCGAAATAACAAACTAGACGCAATAGTGAGACTTGAGGTTGAGAGAAAATAGCAGACAGTACACAGCAAAGATAACGAGAATTGAGAGATGAGAGAAAGAGGATGAGGGTTAGGGTTGGGGCTTGGAGAGAAAAATTAAGGAAGACATTGTCAGGAGATAAGAAAATGCGGTCAGTGGACTGGATAGAGGCAAAGACCAGAGAGAATGGATTGTTGTAAATGGATTGGGGATAATTTAAAGGTCTGATACATGGATTGGAGAGGGAAAGGATTGAGGTTAAGGAGGATGTGATGGAACCAGCTATGAAAAACATTAACAAATTAATTATGGCTGATGTGAAGAAGAAAAGCTGTAATAAATAGCCGATAGCTGAGCCGAAGATAGTGGGAACGAAGCTAAAAGAGAAAGAAACAGAGCCAAAAAAGGAATTAACAACCGAATGGGAAGCAATAGCTGAATGGGACGCTGATAGGAGGTTATTAGCTGAATGGGGAGCCAACTATGAAGAAATTGTGTAATAGCTATCATTATGTTTGTCATGGATTGTCAGCATTTGCATAGGAGTGACAATTCTGTTATGAATGTCATGTCACGTCTAGGCTATAAATAAGAGTTTCCTTGTAACAAAGCAATTCAGGAAATGAATAGAAGCAAGTATTTTCTCTCACGCTCTCTTTCTTCCTTCTCTTTCTATCTTTTCATTCTAAACTTCTCTTTCTTATCTCTGTTAATTCTGATTTCATTTAAGTCATATTCAGTCTGTGACAAATTGGTATCAAATCTCCTTAAGATTCAAATTTCTTGAAGCTGGAAAAGTTTAAGAAACACTCATCAATGGCTGAAGGTACTAGAATGAATACCTTATCTGAACAATTGCAAACCATTCAACAACAACTAAGAAATATCTAGGCTAAGCTTATTGAGAATCAAGATAACATCAATAAAATGCAATCTACAGTTCCCAGGTGGTGGGAGGAGCAGAAAAGGAGATTGAAGCCAAACTTGATGAAAATCATAACAACATCAACAAGATGCTTGAATCCCTGTTGTAGAGAGAACTATCAACAACCCAGATTGATCCAAGAGGAGATATCAATGCTACCAGTTCTCAGTCAACATCTATATTACCAACTAGAAGAGAAGATAAAAAACCAATCGAAATTACTGTGATTGATGAGCATGGTAGATATAATTATAAACCCGATAAACCTGATATATTACACAAATATCAACTAGACCATAATCAAAACAACTCTCAACAAAATGTGTTCCCTGTTAAAAACAATGATCTTACTCTTGGATTTGGTTTATTAATAAGTAGTAATGTTTTTACTCCAAAGCCTAAGATTGAGCTTCTAGTGTTTGATGGTAACAACCCAAGGGGATGGATAAGGAAATGTCAAAAATATTTTACTATTTTTGTTAGAGCTGAATATAAAAAATTAGAGGTGGCAGCGATATATCTAGTTGGTAAGGCAAAGGTTTGGTTTGATGATTACCTAATGCAGAACCCTAAGCTTACTTGGCAAGAATTTGTTACTGTTCTATGCTAAAGGTTTTGTGATAAAACTTGTCTGATGTCATAGAGGAATTTAACAAGATAACTAAAAAATCTACTGTGAAATATTATCAGAAAAGATTTGAAGAACCTGCACCTTACATGCTTCAAACTAATCCTTACCTTGATGAAGCCTTTTTTGTTTCCAGCTTTATGAGTGGGCTAAAAGATGAACTTAAACCTAGAGTTAAGGCAAATCAGCCTTTAACCTTAGCTGCAGCTTTTAAACAAGCTAAGTTACATGAGTTGTCTCTGGAATTGGAGAATGGAAATCACAAAACACTCACCAAACCAAGATTCGCACCAAAAACAAATCAACCTCCTAAAACCTCTTGTAGCTCTTGGAACCACACACAAAAGGTACCTAATAGCACTCCAACTACTCGAAGACAAACTCCTATGGAGGAAAGAAGAATGCAGAATATATGCAATAAATGTGGAGAGAAACTTTTTCCTGGTCATGTGTGTAAGAATAATCAATTTAATTCAATCACAGTAGATGAGTTAACAGAAAAAACAAGGGAAGTAGTAGGAAAGATTAATGACATTGGACAATATATAGTAGGTGAACATGAGCAAGCTGATGATAATCTTGAAATCTCTATTAATGCCTTAACGGGAAGTGTGGGACACAAACTCTTAGAATTAAAGGTAGTATAGGGGGAAGCCTTTGCCTATATTGATTGATAGTGGCAACACCTGCAGTTTTTTTACTCCAATATGGGGGGCGGAATTGCTACACACCAATCTTTTGGCCATTACTGTAGCAAATAGCAAAAAATTGTATAACACTGCTAAGCGGTAGTTGAGGACACTAATTCACTCATGATCTTAGAGTTCTATCTAGGGAGGTAATGACATGTTGCTTGGAGTGGATTGGATGAGGAGATATGCCCATTGGTGTTTGATTTTAATGAGATGCCAGTAACTTTCCAAAAAGAAGGACAAAAGGTTACTAAAGGGAGAAAACAAACCTGCAAGTTTAAAACTGATTTCTGGAAAGAAGTTACAAAGGCTAGTTGGCAAGGATTCTGAAGTGTTGGGAAAGCTGTAAATGATATGTCTAGAGGTGAATGAAGTTGTTCAGCCTTTAATATATCCTATTGTAGTGATTGGTAAAAGGATAGTGCTGAAAAACAATCAAACAGTGACTCAACCATTGGTAACCAAGTCTGATTTGGGGCCTGAAAATGTAACATGGGAAGATCATACGGTGTTGAGGTTCCAATTTCCATATTTTGATCCTTGAGGACAAGGATCCTTTGAAGGGGAAGGTAATGTAATGGAAACTACTAAGAAAAACATTAACAAAGGCTCTAACAAACAACTGGTAGCTTAGTTGAAGACAGTGGGGATGAAGGTAAAAGAGAAAGAAACAGAACCAAAAGAGGAATTAACAGCTGAATAGGAAGCAGATAGGGAGTCAGTAGCTGAATAGGAAGCTGATGGGAGGTTAGTAACTGAATGAAAAGCGAACTATGAAGAAATTGTGTAATAGTTGTCATCACGTTTGTTATGGATTGTCAGCATTTGCATAGGCGTGGAAATTCTATTATGAATATTATGTCACGCGTTAGGCTATAAATAAGAGCTCCCTTGTAACAAACCAATTTAGGAAATGAATAATAGAAGCAAATATTTTCTCTCACGCTTTTTTTCTTCTTTCTCTGTTCTATCTTCTCGTTCTAAACTTCTTATCTTTGTTAATTCTATTTTCATTTTAGTAAGTCACATTCAGTCTGTGACAGAGGATTGCGAGAAATAAGAACTTAAAAGAGAAAGGGAGAAGACACGGGTGTGGACTAATTTCTTTTAACATACTAGAAAATTCATCTTTGTTATATGTGTATAGCCGACACTAATTGGTATTTTTCGTAAACGCTGAAAATCTTTAATAGTATTTATAAATGTCATTAAATATTAAAAAAAATGTCACTAAAAACTTAAATTCCTTTAATGTATGCTTCATGATATTTTGATATATTGTTTTAGTTTTTATTTGAAATTTTCAAAAAATTAAAATTCTTTTAATTCATGATTAGAATTTGAGAAAAATAAATTTAATGGATAAAGCAACACATTTTTTTCTTCCGAAAAGAAACAATATATCTTTAAAAATGAAAAATATATAAGTAATTTCGATGCTGAAATGCAAATTCAACTTTCAAGAATGAGTAACAGTTAATGCTGAAAACAATGTTAATATTTAAATTTCGTTGCTCATGAATATCATACAGGAACACATCAAATATATATAAACAATTGTACAGCACGGTATTAGTAACTTTGAAACATCATCCTAATGATTTTTGAAACTGTAGCATTTTAGGAATAAAGCACTTACCGACAAAGGCTAGCAGCATATAAAATACAATAATAAAGACTTGCAAAATAACAAATCTGTAATAGCATGAAAATCATTCCAATATTTAAATAAATTCCCAACTCACCTTTCATTTGATCATCAATACAACAATCACCACATGACTCAACTTCATCTTACTTGCCCAACAATTGCCTTCTTATCATTTTTTTTTTCCCATGAGTGTAACTCTAGTCTGCACCAACTGAAGCTGCCATAATCAGATTAATACAATCACCAATATAAAAAACCAAAAAAGATATCTTTCCTCTTCACTATTTGAATTCACAATGATTCTCAATTCACTAATATCATAAACAGAACTTATCCCTAACAAATTCTCAAATACTAAAATCCCATAAACACAAATTCTTAAATACTGAAATCCCATAAACATGTTCAAATATGCTCGTCTTATATCAGTCAAAATCTTCCCTCAAAATTTTCCAGGTCCCCTCCTATCCCTTGGACAACGAAAGATAGAGTTGGGTTCACAATCAGAGTTTCATGGTCAAAAGTAAACTCATATGGTGAAGACCTTTTTCAAGCTATATCGCATACGCAGAATCTATTCCCCCTAATCATAAATGTTTCTCTTTAAATGTTTTTCTGGTTCTCTCATTTTAAATTGAAAGCAAATAATCCTGTTAATAAATAACAAACAAAAATGCAGTAAAGAGAAATAAAGTAAGGTTTTTAGTGTCCAAACTCACCACGTAAGGAGAGTTTTCAATTCCATCATCACAAATTACTTGTGCAAGGACTCTTTGCACAGAATAATAGGAATAAGGAAGTTGTGAATAGGTTGAAGTCAACTTATTCACTTTCACCAACAATGAATTAAACCATCAGTTGGATTAAATCAAAGATCCTATGGTTGGTTATAGAGCTTGAAAGACTCAATAAGCATAATCAACACTCCAATTTTAAGCATATTCAAACCCCATCAAGGCCACAGTCCACCTAGTTTACAGTCATATTAAAATTCCCCCCCAAGTTTACTCTGCCGACAAGAACTTAAACTAATTCATCAACTAAACAAATCCAATTTTCTTGCAAAGAGTTACAACTGGCTGTTTTGATCATTCCTATTGCTTCATAATGGTATCTTTGAAAGTATCCTCTAATTGCCTTATTACAACTGGTATGAACTGCTAAATGGGTTTTTTTTTTTTTTTAATTTCAAAATATAAAAGGCAAATTGTGAGGGAACAATTGCAGCCAACTCTATGATAGGCACAACCACAATATAAAAAATGCATTTACCCTCAAAGGTAGAGATGTATTTTTAATTCCACTCGATTATCCCTTGGAGATGAATTTTCATAACCTGTATCTTGGTTCAACTCTCCATTAATTATAGCCAAAACAGGGGAATACTTTTAGCTTCGTGTTTGCCACAATCTTAAGAACAAGCTGCCAATAAAAGATAATAAAAATTCATGGAAACACAAACAACAATCATTGCATCATAAAATTCTTACCATTTCGGGAGTAGTGCCTTCCTCAATTGTCCGAAAAGGAACTACTTTACTTTGGATGAAAAACCTGTCTTTGTACATCAAGTTAGGCAGAGCAACATGATGGGCTTACATTGTAACCACAGCAGCCTAAAAAAGGATCAAAATCATTGTCTATGATATAGAATTATAGTTCTAAGCTAAAAACTAAATAGCTAGACAACAAGAAATCCTATTATTTATGTTACTTGAAGCCACACCACATATGATAAAAATCCAAATTATATACATACTGTATATTTCACAAACATACTTAATTTAAAGAAAAAAAGAGTTAAATATAATAATGGCCTTGAAACTATATAGATTTTGTTAGTTTGGTACATAAAAAAATAAAAACTATCACATTAGCACTTTAACTTTCACTATGTTATCATGTTCGTATCTTGAACTAATGTCTTTAGTTTTTAATGTTGATACAGCATAAATATCTAACGAGATGCTAACACATATAAAAATAGTTCAATTAATGACATATCAACATAAAAAGAAAATTTCAAAAAAATTTTTAAAATACTAAAAAATTCTAAAAATTTTTTTTAAAAATGTTAAAAAATTAAAAAATATGAAATATTTTTAAAATATATAAAAATTAAGATAATTCTAAAAATAAAAAAAAAATGAAAAGCTTAATACAAACATATAAAAAAATGAAAATTTTAATAAAAATTAAATTTTCTTAAAATTTCAAAAAAATACAAAAACTTGAAAAAACTAAACATTAAAAAAAATCCATAATTTTTTTGAAAATATTTTAAAATTGAAAAAAAAATAAAATCTTTTGAAAATTAAAAAAAATTAGAAATTTTTTTAAAAATTTTTGAAAAAATAAATAATTTTAAAAATCTAAAACATTTTTAAAAATTTTAAAAATTCTGAAAAATAAAAAAACTTAAAAATTTCATAGAAATCCAAAAGAATTGAAAATTTTTATAAAAAATTCAAAAATATATAAAAAAATTAAAATTGCAAGATTCAAAAAATAAAAATTTTCAAAAATTTTTAAAACTTTTTTAAAATTTTTTAAAATTTTAGATTTTTAAAAAAGTTTTGTATTTTATATTTTATATTTTAAATATTTTTAAGTTTTGATTTTTTTTTTGAATTTTTTTGGATTTTTTATCAAAATTTTATATTTTATATTTTTTAAGTTTCCTTAATTTTTATTTTTTAAAAATATTTCAATTTGTAATTTTTAAAAAAATTTTAAAAATATTTCATTTTTTAAAATTTTAATAATTATTTTAGAATCATTTTAGGATTTTTAAAAATATTTTAAAATTTTTGAAAATTTCTTTTAATACTGTAGATATCCGTTTTTGTCCGACCTATTTGGGCCCATTATGGCTCAAGCCCAATGTAGCTCATTTTGGTCCATGCCCAATTGGACCCATTCTGGTCAAGCCCACCATAACCCATTTTGGTCTAATTAAATACTTTTACTATTATTATTATTATTATTATTATTATTATTTATTTTTTTGTTTTTTTTTTCAATCTGTATATGAATGGGGATCAGGATCATAATCCTTCGGGTCAACACAGAATCAAATTAATACTGCTAAAATTTTAGACCTAAAATCTCATCTCAACATAATGTAATCCCAAGAATCAAGCCTGGGATTGATTATGTCCGTTTCCTGAATTGATCTTAGGTTGCCTATAAATTGGACCTAATTTGCAGAGCAAGAACACACAGAGAAAACACAAGGAGAATGGAGAGAAAATTTTGCTAGTAGGAGTTTTTGGGATTTGATCTTGGGGTTTTATAGTTAATTTGTGGATTCTTGCAGTGAATTCAAGTTTCTGGGGTGAATTCAGGATTGTAGAAGGTTCAGAGTTGGCTTAGAATCATCTGAGAATTTTTTTGAATTTTTTTAGATTTTTTGGGTTTGGTTTAATTTTTCGGCGAAGTATAAATTTTTCGATGAAGTTTTCAGCGATCGATTGAATTTTTTGATCACATTCCAGCCAACTTTCTAGAAATCGATGATTTTTCAATTTTCGGTTGAATTTTTTGACAACTTTTTCAAAAATTGATGAATTTTTCAGCTCTGGTTGAAGTTTTCGATAGAGATTTCTAGAGAGAAGGCAAAGCTTCTCGGTCCAGAGAGAGAGAGAGCAAAAGGAATTTTGAAGCAAAGACGTGAAAATTGCCTTATATAGCTGCCTGAAATGACACCGTTTTGGTAAGTCAGGATCCGCGCGTCGACCCAAATACCCATACGCTGACCCACGTCCTGACCTGACCCGATCACAGGTTTTTTTTTTTCATTTTCATTTTATTTTCTAATTTTATTTTATTTTATTTTATTTTTAACCCATTTTTTTATTTTTTTATTTTTTTAAAAAATATAAAAAAATAAGGAAATGTAAAAAAATAATAATAAAAATTACATCTGCCACTGATATATTTTTTGGAAACATATTTAAAAAAAAAGGGAAAAAATCTTTCTAATAACAAAATTAATTACTTATTATCAAATTATTTGGCAAATTATAAAAATGAGCAAGGCTTGGATAATTCGAAATCAAACTGGTACTATCCATTGGATGGGCGTTTTGGGGGTGTTATAACATTTTTCATGCACAATCGACTTCCAAACTGACCTCTGTTTTGCATATCAATTTTAGGTGACCAATCACATCTAACCAAAAAAGATTGGTGGCGACTCTTTTTCATTCAAAGTCTAGTGGTAAGTCCAAGGATATATACGTTATGACAGCTTGACGACTCCACTGGGGACATTATGAGAGAGTTAAGCCAGTAAAAGATTTCTTATTATCCAGGCCTTGTCTAACAAATTTGAATTTACTTATTTCCATTGTTTATATCTACTTTATTACTATTTATTTATCTGCCCTATTATTCAATATTTATATTTGCCTAAATATCTTCTTATTATATTTGTCATTCATTTGCATGTGCATAAATAAGCCCTCCACCCAGGCTCTACCCTTAGGAAGGAGTGAAGTACCTATACCCTTATGAGATTTTATGTTTTCATATGGGCCTGTGAAACATTCCCATTTAGATTGAACCTTTTCCGCTTAAAAGCCTATGTTGGGTGAGGATTACGATGCCTTACTAGTCTGTAATGGACCGTGATGTAGGGAATAATTTAGGAACCTTTTAGAATTAACCCAAACCACATATAGTTGACTTTAGAAGGCCAACCTAGATAGAGCTTATTTCCCACCCTTTGTATATAACCCAAAATTTTAGGTTATGTTGTTATCCTAACTATTATGTTCTATAGAAACTGAAGTGACTAACTAATTTCTTTATCTTCTTTTATTTCTTTTTGCACATATTCATGAACATGTTCACAAACTACATAGTACTCTTACCCCAAAGATATTTCAACAAAAGACTTCATGGATTTCATAAAATGTTAGGTTTGTGTCCATCTATGCTGTTCAAATGTGATTCTCCTATAAAGGTGAAGATTGAATAAAAAAAGAGACAGCTGGAAGAAGGATACTGTTTGCCACCTGGCCATGTCCTTACATTATTAGGAAAAGTCCACTTACTCCTCAAGCACAATAACTTAAAAAGTCTCTCAGACATATGGAGTAGTATGACCCCTTCAAGGTAGGAGGCTTACTGTGAGAAGTTTGGACATACAGCATATCTCTTATCAGTGGAGTTGACTACTCACTAATTAAGGCAATGATACAGTTTTAAGATCCCTCATACCAGTGTTTTATCTTTAATAAGGTTGATCTAATACCAATAATTAAAGAGTACTCGACTTTGATGGGTATGCATCTATTGTATCCAGACAGAATATACATGAAGAAACATAAATTAAGAAGTCACATGAAGCTTAGTCAAATGCTAGGGGTGGGAAAAGAGACTATAGATTCATACATTCGAGAGAAAGATGATCACAAAGGTATTCCATGGGGGGTCCTCTGAGATTTCATTATCAAGATCCAGACGATGACAAGGGAATGAATGCATTTGCTCTGGCCATATATAGGTTGGTCATCTTCTCCAAGGTCTTAAGACATATTGAGATAGAAGTGGTGGATCTGTTTGAGCAGATTGAAAAAAACTGTAACCCTTCACTAGTTATTCTGGCAAAAACTATCAGATCTTTAAGTTTTTATAAGCAGATGGGCAAAGCACGTTTCATGGGTTGCATACCCTTATTATATGTAAGGATGAAGAGCCATTTTGAATGCAAGAAAAGTGTCTTTACCAAACTTTATTTTCACACTCAGAATCTTATTAGAGAATTCTATCAGAGCATTTGGACAGATGTAAGAACTCAAAAGAAGTGAAAATGTCTACTACAAAAACTCATTGCTAGTAACGTAAGATGGTTAGCTCTATGGATGGGCAGAGAACCTATGCTATACTAATGTAGAGATGAGACAGGGTCCCACTTCTAGGCCTATGGGGAATAACAAATTATGCCCCATTAATGGTAAAGAGGCAACATGGAGCTGAATAGTTTATTCCTATGACCCACAAGCTCGATCAATTCGACTGCTCATATAAGGAGCTTGAACCCTTCTAAAAGATTGAAAGCATAATTAAAGCATGGAAGAAGCCTAAGAGAGTAAGCATATGACCATTCACTGATCGAGTCATTCAGGGGTATTTGGTTTGGAGAGATAAGAGAGGTCAGGAGATTACATTTGAACCTCAGGATCATCACTTACCAGTGGGTCAAAAGTCTAATAAACAACTTTCAGAATTAGAGCATGAGATGGAAAAGAAGAAACTAAGACAAGAGGTCTAAAAGTTGTAGGAAGAAAAGGACCAATGGCAAAACAAAACGAAGAAACTAGAAGTCCAAGCCCATAAAATTTTCAAAGAATACAATAAGGCCTAAAAAATTGTTAGAGAACGGGATGACGCCTTAAAAGAGCTAAAAGAGTTACAATAGGAGCATAAGAGGTTATGCATACAAGTGCAAGCCAAAAAAATAAACAATACTGAGTTGGCTCATGAAAATGAAGAGTTAAAAAAGAGAACGACCACATAGAAAATGCTTTCATAGAGGTTATGCAGAAGAACTAATGGCTGAAGCTAAGAGAATGAAAAAATTATGTTAGAACCCTTACAGAAAAGCACAAGAAATTATCTCATCAAGTGTGGTGCGATAAAAGAAAAAGGTTAGGAAGACAGAAATACATAAAGCACCTCACTGCTCAGATAAG